TAAACTTGTCCCACATCGATACTCAAACAAGACAGAAAAGTGTTGTGTGTGTATATATATATATGTATATTATATGTATATATATATATATGTATATATATATATATGTATATATATATATATATATAATGAATACATGCATGGATTCTCAGGGTATACTAATACAGGAAACCTCTGATCTCGTGTCCCTATCGACTTCAGATGTTCCTTGTTTACCTAGCCCAGCAGGATGCTCGCGCTAGGCTGGATTGAAAAAGAGGGGGCTAAGGGGTTGTAAAAGCAAAAGAGAGGACTTAGGGCTTGTAAGGCTTTATACGGGCCCAAACAAGGTGCAAGCAACAGGACTCGTCATACGCTTCCAGGGATTATGTCCTTTGCCGTGGGGGGGCCTTTTCAGCGGAGGCTGTCGGTGAGGGCCTTTGTCGACACTAGCAGCAGTGCAGGTCCCGCCTGACTGTATACTCTGTGAGGTGTATGAGGAAGCTGTTTCACCCGAGTCCTTGAAGTAGAGGTGTTCCGTGTTTGCTCTGTAATTATTGCTGCAAAAACGAAAGCTCCAATTGATATGCTTCCGAAACTCAGAACCCATACTTTGGAGATTGCACACACAAAACAGACAAACCGACGCGTCCTCGGTCTCCACCGGTGTAATCTCCACCTTCGGAGCTGGCCTGGCATTCAAGCAGTCTGTAGACGATGCAACGTCCCTTTAAAGCACTGCTCTGTGCTTGAAGAGCACATTACTTAGCCTCTGAAGTGACCGTTCTTACCCAACCGTATGCCTCGAGGCGTATCTAGTCGCAAAATCTTGAAGGCGAGCATAAAACTTGTCCACCAAGGGGCCCATTTCTGCACTGAGCTGCATTCGCACTGTCCATTATGACATGAACTGTGTTTGAGACAGCGATGATGTCGGAAATCTCCGTGCAAAGCGAGCATTCGTTAGGGTTATGACAGAGATAAGCTTCGAAACGAGCTGACGGTTGTGCAGAATTGCCAAGCGATCCTGCAGCCGACCTCGGCTGTAAGAAAACAGTCGAGGAAACGCGGCGATGATGTCCCGGCTGACGGCTAGAGAGAAATAACCATGCAAAATAAACAACTTTGGAGACAGGTTCGTGTTGATACTCAACCCGAGCAGCTGAGGAAAGGTTGCAATCATCTTCGACACCTCGGTCTTGCTCAATCCAACTTCGTGCAGCCACTCCACGGTGGGTTTCAAGTTTGCCTCGATGCTCAACCAAAGCAACGGAGGAAATGTGGCAACGGCCTTGGATAGTTGGGTCTTGCTCAGACCCACCTCGTGCAGCCACTGCACAGTGGGTTTCAAGTTTGCCTCGATGCTCAATCCAAGCAACTGAGGATGAGAAGCGACGGTCTTGGACACTTGGGCCTTGCTCAGACCCACCTCGTGCAGCCACTCCACTGTGGGTTTCAGGTTGGCCTCGATGCTGCACCCAAGCAGTTGAGGCTTAGAAGCAATGGCCTTGGACACTTGGGCCTTGCTCAGACCCACCTCGTGCAGCCACTGCAGTGTGGGTTCCAGATTTGCCTCGATGCTGTACCCTAGCAACTGAGGAAACCTGGCAATGGCCTTGCGCACTTGGGTCTTGCTCACTCCAACTTCGTACAGCCACTCTACAGTAGGTTTCAAGTTTGCCTCGATGCTCAAACCAAGCAACTGAGGAAACGTGGCAACGGCCTTGGACACTTGTGCCTCGCGCAAACCCACCTCGTGCAGCCACGCCACTGTGGGTTTCAAGTTGGCCTCGATGCTGTACCCAAGCAACTGGGGATGAGTGGCGATGGCCTTGGACACTTGGGCCTTGCTCAGACCCACCTCGTGCAGCCACTGCAGTGTGGGTTTCAAGTTGGCCTCGATGCTGTACCCTAGCAGTTGAGGCTTAGAAGCAATGGCCTTGCGCACTTGGGTCTTGCTCAGCCCAACTTCGTGCAGCCACTCCACTGTGGGTTTCAGGTTGGCCTCGATGCTGTACCCAAGCAATTGAGGATGAGTGGCGATGGCCTTTGACACTTGGGCCTTGCTCAGACCCACCTCGTGTAGCCACTCTACAGTGGGTTTCAAGTTGGCCTCGATGCTCAAACCAAGCAACTGAGGAAACGTGGCAACAGCCTTGGACACTTGCGCCTTGCTCAAACCCACCTCGTGCAGCCACGCCACTGTGGGTTTCAAGTTGGCCTCGATGCTGTACCCAAGCAACTGGGGATGAGTGGCGATGGCCTTTGACACTTGGGCCTTGCTCAGACCCACCTCGTGTAGCCACTGCACAGTGGGTTTCAAGTTTGCCTCAATGCTGTACCCAAGCAACTGAGGATGAGTGGCGATGGCCTTTGACACTTGGGCCTTGCTCAGACCCACCTCGTGTATCCACTCCACCGTGGGTTTCAAGTTGGCTTCGATGCTCAACCCAAGCAGCTGAGGCGAGGTGGCAATGGCCTTGGACACCTGGGNNCTTGCTCAGACCCACCTCGTGCAGCCACTCCGCAGTAGGTTTCATTTTTGCCTCGACCCTCAACCCTAGCAGCGGGGTGAACTTCTGTAATGCTGCCTCAGCCACAGCCTCTGGCAAAGCGATGGCTTCCTGAAGAAAGGCCAGGACCTCAGTCCTTCTGCTCTCTCTTGTCCCACCTCCACCTGAGAGTAGAGCTTCCTGAGCGAAAGAATGCGCAGGCTCCAGATCAACGTGGCCAGCTTGGTGAGGAAATTCGAGAATACGTGCTCTTGATGCAGGACGGAGCAGACCATTCAACTTGCTGGATAAATGCTGTGCGAGTTGGCATACAGTTCTGCTCAGGGATCTTTGGTTGCCAGGCTGCCAAGTACTCACCACAACTTCGATTACTCTGTCGTCGCCTCTGGAGACATTCCGGCCGGCGTGGCCCACCCTTACGATTCGCGAGCCTGCTGGCGCACAGTGCATCAAGGCTGCATTCTTGCGCTCGTCTGCTGCAATCCCGGAGGGTAGCTGATGCCGGTAGTATCCGTCATATTCTAGGAACAACACGGCATTCTTCTTTTTCAAGACACCAGGCACAGCCAAGTCCGGGCTCAAACGGCTTGACGCCCAGTTCTCCGATAGCTCAACACCGAAATCACGAAATAGCTCTGCGATCGGCTGGTCCGGCGCGAAAAGCACGGCAACGTGTGACAAAAGCTCAACCTCCGCGACACTCCGGTGTACCTGTCGAGGATATCCGGCTTTCCACCAAGAGGACGCGCGAGAAACTGCAGGGCCAGGCGTCAGAGAGCCAAGCAAGCACAACACACACCCTTGCAAAGCCCTGGCCCACTGGCACTGCATTCTTGTTGGCATCCTTTATCCTCGAGCCACATGTTGCAGCGATGGGACGGGGTCTTACAGTATACAAAATACTACAATTTCCGGCACTCATCTCATGACGAATGATCACGCTCCGATCTGATAACAAGAGGCAGGTGGACTGACAGCAAGAGTTCGCGACGATTTCGCGAACCTCAGCGGCTCAGCGATGTAATGTTGCAAATATGTCTGGGTAGAACTCACAGGGAGAATCTCACATGCAGCTTGACAATGAAATGTTCATTTCTGTGGCTTAACACAGGTTAGGCGCCCAAAGATTCTGGGCAGACCACTGTTATATGTAATCTACATATCCGGATCTTCTACACGATACAGAACCTGCAGATTCCGCGCTCACGTTGCAGGATGACACACACACAAACACAAACACACACACACACACACACATACACAAACTCTCAGCGTGGACGAGCTGGAACATTCACAGATTTTGCCAGAACCTACCCTGCCAAGGCCCCGGCTGACTCTTCTAAAGCGGTGCCCTCATCATTCCTGGCGAAAGCACGGTTACAGGATGCAACGCGGTGGAAGTTGGGATGCCTGACCATTCTGCCCTCAGCAACCTCCGACACGAGAACCAAAAGGGCGCAATGAGACTAAATGTGGCCGAGCTGCTCGAGAGGCATCTCTTCCCGGACCCAGTCCCACCTGTGACGGGCATTGCACCGTGCCGGCACTACCCAGAGTTATCCAAGGACTCGTGCTTGGTTCTGCCAGGAGGTGAAGGATTAAGATGTCCGTCACATGACAAAGGAAAATGGCCGCCTACTGAAGTTCAATGACGTCCACTGTTGTTTTTGTTGTGTAGCCCGTCCGCCGGTTGCACCAGAAATTGCATTCATTTCCTAGCACAAGTGCAGCCGTTACGGCATTCGAAGGTTTCAAGCCAACTATCACACAACGGAAGACAAGGACTCCAGGCTCCAGGAGGTTCCGCGCAGAACCAGCAAAGGCATCCAAGGTTCCGGGATTGAGCGGTATCTATGGCTTAAGGCCATGGAACTCCACTGAGCAGGGCACTTTGCTAAACAAACAGCCCCAACTTGGAAAATACACCCTCGGATCCCTTCGAGTTTCAATGTGTTCCGGCCCCAAAAAAAGGCACAAGAGGGACCCTGGGGTGCCAAAGGGCCCTCTCTGGGATATCGGATAGCAACCACATACATGGCTCCGAAAGGATGGGAAGGCTGAATCGGCCGAGGCCCTGGCACAAAGGTGCAGTGCCCCTCAATCTTGGCCGCTGAGTCCGGCCCATGCTTCTTCCTTGCAGGCACTGAAAATATGCCAAACATGATAGTCACTTTGTAAAGCTGTGATGGTGTCTGGGCTTCGCAAAGACAGCGCAACTGGCAATTGCAATCTTGGGCGTTCCGATGCTCGATGGGGCGAGGGTTATTCTACAGTTATGCTCTTGGGTTTGACGGTTCACGGTGCATGGATGGACTGTGAGGACTGATGCCCGCAGTTGCAGGGTCTAGGCCTCTTGCAGTGGTCGAAAACTCACAGGCAAATGTCCGGAATCCTACTTCGCTGATTTTTGGTTTGAAACTTTGTGCGGAAGTTCGAAGCACCAAGCCCAAGAATCACACATTGAACGCGGGCAATTATGGGACGCACCAGATCACCACCAAAAAACTGTAAGCTCACCCAACACAAGAGGCCCCAGGCCCACCCCAACTCCCTGAACTCTGAGACCTAAACCATCCTAAACCCAAGCCCGCCAACCCAAACGTGAATAGCTCCTGTCCCTGGGCCCGCGCTGGATCTCCTCGTGAGCCTTCTTTCCCTGGTCCAGGCAGGGCTGCAGATCCTCGAAGGAGGGAGACGATTCAGGGCACTCTTTGTGGGTTTTCGGAATGCTTGGGTTGTGCATGCACATTCTTTATTATGTGAAACAGCATTAACATGGAATGACATGACGGATCAAAGCATAGATCGCTGGATGGGCGGATGATAGCAGACACAGACCAAAAGATGCGCACATCATGTTACCGCGGTTCAGCTCGCATGGTTGTGGGTTGCAGGTGCCGTTTGTCATGTGCAGCTTTCAGGGTGAAAGATCGAGGTGCCTGAGCCAGAACCAGCTCACCCGATGCTGCACTGTCCTTTCCCTGGAACCCTCCTCGAGCCTCGACCCTTAGCTCCCCGAATCCCTGAACCCCCAAACGCAGGAAAACACACAGTCCCGAACCCTCCATCCGAAGCTGCCTATGACAACCGAGCCAAACCCGGCGGAGGCCTGAAAGATCCCTGGCATGGCTCAAAGCCCCAGGGGTGTGCCGCGCCTGCAAACGAAGCGCTTGGGAGTTGTTCAAGATTTGGGACGTTGAAAATAATGGCCGAAAGCTGAAGAATCCTAGGGTTGAGGATCTGGGGCTTCAGATCGGAGGACGGACTTACGACCCCTTCAAGCGCCACAACCGCGCGCACCAGAATCGCCGCAACAAAAGTGGTGCTACTCCAAGTACACTGAGAATACCTCGCTTGACATCTAAAATCGATGTGCTACACCTTGTTGCGCGCTTTGAAGCTCGAGGGAGCTGTGTCAAACTTGAGTAAACCCAAAGGGTCCAAGTACCATTATAGTAGGTACTTAGCAGGTATTTGGGCCCCAAAAGTATATACTATACTAGTACTTGGACCCTTTGGGAAAGGAACCCCGCAATCCGACTGCCAGGCCTCCTGCTGCTGCGGACACCGCCCCCCCCGAGGGCCGCTGGGAGCCAACGACAGGGAAGCTTCTTTTGGGTTTAGGGCTTTAGGGTTTAGGGTTTATCAGGGTTTAGGGATCTTTCTCTCTGGAATTATTATTTTGCCTCTGACTCTTCCCGCCTGTCTATCTCTCCCTCTCTCTCGCTCGCTCTCTCCCAGTCTCCCGCTCTCGCTTTGTTTTTTCTTTCGCCAGGGCTGTGGTGCAAGGGTTTCCCCCTCCCGCTCTCGCTCTCGCTCTCGCTCTCTCTCTCTCTCTTTCTCCTGCTTGTTGGCCTGGAGACTTCCTGAGGTTTGAACAGAGAACACCATGGCACATTGAAATGTAGCGCTGCACATGTTCGTCCGTCAAGGGTGCTTCACACATTTGTGACTGAAATTACTCCTGCAGCCCAAGACCAAACCACCAAACAAAAAACTCATTTTTTCGATTCCTCTCGGTGTTGTCTCCGGCAGGCGGGGGGCCCAGCCAACCATGCCTTCGTCGAAGGGACCTGCTGCGCATGCGGCATCTGTATGGTCAGAAGTTTGGATGCTTGGTCCAGGGTTTAGGGTGCTATTAGCGGGACCCAAACAAACGGAATTGGATTGTGGGATCTACATGATACACTTGCTGTAAGGAGCCCTTTAGAGTTTGGGTAATTCGTCCGACCTCTGTAGCACGGTGTCGGGGACTCCGGTTCTGAGGGCACGACCCGCCACTTTGTCGGCGGGCCCAGGCTGCCAGAGCTTTGGTTTGAGACAGTGGGACCGATTTAGGTTTTTTGGTTCGTCACCTTTTTTTCCGACTGCTAGTGCTGACGGAGAGCCGACATGGGTTTTTAGGGCTTAGGGTCTAACATTTTACAGTACGTAGGCTTGGCTCTAAGAGCAGATGGTGCAGAAGGTAAGATGTCTGGATGCTTTCTCCGGATGACTCCAGCGTTGCAGTTCAAGGGTCGTTCCAACTCTTGTATAATTCAATTATAAGTTTGGGTTTTGCACATGCCATGACTACATTGATTACATTGCTTCGGGCTTTCAATTTTAACTGACTTACAGCACAACTCCCCCGACCCCCAGGTGGGAAGGGCACACATACTCGTTGCAAGTGGTACTATCGCCACCCCTTGCCCCGCTCGGTAAGGGCAAGGATTGGGCTTCGGGAACAGTCGATGCACGACCTTGTACTGCGGCAGGGTGGGCAAACCTGAACTGTTGAAAGCTGTATCGAATCGGAACGGTGTACTCATGCACCTCGGGGAGCGGACAAACCTCCCCTCCGAGGGTAAGGACATTGAACAAACATTTCCTTCCTTGTTTGAGCAGCCTGAAACAGCACGGATGGCAAAAGACACGTGGGAAGATGAGAGCTTTTTCAACACTTGATCGTGAAGCGCTTGGTCAATCCGCTGCACCGAACAAGGTGTTCAAACCCATGCCACTACACAAATGATCACCAATGCTTGTGGAGACACAACGACAAATGACCGATGATGCACATCCTCAGCTTCCGCTAGCGCCACCTTCGCCTCCTGACGCTACAGCAAATCCCGATTGACTCATGCAGGAAACCTCTGCTCAAAGCGAACTCGAGTCAGTGCAATTACAGCGAGGAGCTTCGAAAGCTGGCCGCTTCTATGCAAAACGGCGAGCCGATCCTCCAAACGAGCATGAGTGTATGACAGCAGCGTAGGGAAAGCCGCGATCATGTCTCGAATGGAATCTGTAGTGTAGTAGTGCTGCAGGAGGGACAGCTTTGGGGAGAGGTTCGCTTCGATGCTGTATCCTAGCACCTGCGGGTGAGTGGCAAGAACGCTGGACGCTTGGGATTCGCTCAGTCCAACTTCATGCATCCACACGACAGTGGGGTTTAAGTTTGCCTCGATGCTGTACCCAAGCAAACGAGGAAACCGGGCAATGGCCTTTCGCACTTGGGTCTTGCTCAGACCCACCTCGTGCAGCCACTCCACTGTGGGTTTCAAGTTGGCCTCGATGCTGTACCCAAGCAACTGAGGATGAGAGGCAATGGCCTTGGACGCTTGGGCCTTGCTCAGACCCACCTCGTGCAGCCACTCCACTGTGGGTTTCAAGTTGGCCTCGATGCTCAACCCAAGCAACTGGGGACACGTGGCAATGGCCTTGGACACTTGGGCCTTGATCAACCCAACTTCGTGCAGCCACCCCACAGTGGGTTTCAAGTTCGCCTCGATACTCAACCCAAGCAACTGAGGACACGTGGCAATGGCTTTGGGCACTTGGGTCTTGCTCAGACCCACCTCGTGCAGCCACTCTGCTGTGGGTTTCAAGTTGGCCTCAATGCTGTACCCAAGCAAACGAGGACACTTGGCAATGGCCTTGGGCACTTGGGGCTTGCTCAGACCCACCTCGTGCAGCCACTCCACCGTGGGTTTCAAGTTCGTCTCGATGCTCAACCCAAGCAACTGGGGACACGTGGCAATGGCCTTGGTCACTTGGGCCTTGCTCAGTCCCACTTCGTGCAGCCAGTCCACCGTGGGTTTCAGGTTGGCCTCAATGCTGTACCCAAGCAACTGAGGACACTTGGCAATGGCCTTGGGCACGTGGGCCTTGCTCAGTCCCACTTCGTGCAGCCACTCAACAGTGGGTTTCAAGTTCGCCTCGATGCTCAACCCCAGCAATTGAGGAAACGTGGCAATGGCCTTGGTCACTTGGGCCTTGCTCAGTCCCACTTCGTGCAGCCACTCAACAGTGGGTTTCAAGTTCGTCTCGATGCTCAACCCAAGCAACTGGGGACACGTGGCAATGGCCTTGGTCACTTGGGCCTTGCTCAGTCCCACTTCGTGCAGCCAGTCCACCGTGGGTTTCA